GTTTAGGGAAGCATGCCTAAGTGACTTAATTGTTCTACTTGCTTAAACTGTTTACCTGTATTCTGTGCAGCATGTTAGGATAGAAATACCTGTGTTTCCTTGGTGCGAAATTGGATATTCTTCTTGATACTGTTGTGTGTTTACTTTGGGACTACGGGCGTTATCTCGGGAGATCCCCCTTGCTTGTTTATTTGGGAATACGGATTGGTATTCCGGGAGATCCCCCTGCACGTTTATATTGGGACTACGGGACAACACCAGCAGATTTCCGCCCCCCTATACTGGATATTTACATTTGGGACAACGGATTGGCATTCCAGGAGATCCCCTATGCATTATCAACTGGACTACGGGAGGATATCCTCGGAGATCCTTCGTGTATTTACATTTGGGACTACAAGACGATATCCTGGGAGATGCCCTGTTGTCATCTCGGTGTGGAGTTACATTCTTTCTGTGATTTTTCCTTCCGTTATAGTTGTTATTATCTTTATTTTTCCTGTCTCATTTCATACTGCTTTATCTTATGCCTTATATATGTATCTAACCAGTAGAGCCCTGACCTTCCTCGTCACTACTCGACCGAGGTTAGGCTTGGCACTTACTGGGTACCGCCGTGGTGTACTCATGCCCTTTCCTGCACATGTTTTTTGCGTGCAGATCCAGGTTCTTCGGCTCAGCCATACCGTTAGTGAGGCGAGGCGATCTTTAGAGACTTCGAGGTATATCTGCAGCATCCGCAGACCGAGGAGTCCCTCTCCATTCCCTCCTTTAGCTATTGATCTTCTGTATTTTCTTTTGACTAGATATTCTAGAGTTAGAGCACTACGTAGTATTCTCCGCTTGTGATTTCATGAGATTTCGGGTTTTGGGAGTTGATTTAGTTTTTTTGAGAGTAGGTATTGGTATATGCTGAGCGACATCTTATATGTTTTATAATTATTTATCCTCAGTTTTTATTTGTTTCATATTTTGTTTCTTTTCCGCAAATTGTTAGGCTTACCTAGTCGTAGAGACTAGGTGCCATCACGACAGTTCACGGAGGGCGAACATGGGTCGTGACACCTTTGCTTGTATAGTAGATGCTTTAGTGTATAGAGTTTAGCATATACACGAAAGATTAAATCATCGGTTCTTATGAGTCATAAAGTTTATGTTCACAATCTAATGATGGAATTGGACAAACAATCAGAATGGTTATAGTACAATATTAAATATAATTTATCTTGATTATGGAAATGGTTTGTGCCAGTACATTTTGCATGTATTGAATGGATCAAGTAGAGATAAGTATTTTATACTGACTTACTAAAATAATTTCTCTAGTCCATTCAATGTACTTATACTTTTAATCATGATATAATTATTATTGTTTGTGTGTGTCATTTATTATTTTGATTTATTAAAAGGCGAGATTCTTTCGTGGGTCAATAAGCCTGGTAAATTGGACAATAATGATATATATATATTGGCAAAGTAATAATTAGTTGATAGAATCCTTGTCTCGACTTTTGAGATTTACGGTACTCCTTTATAAAAGCTTCTAAGTTTTCATGTGTAAACCCGGCCGATGGATTTTGTATCCGGCACATAAAATAAGTTAAGTGAAAGTCTAAAGGAAGTAATCAATAAATCAAATTGTCAGTAATTTAATTTGATTGATTAGTAACTGAATCTTCACATTTGGAGTTAAACAAGGTTTTATGGAAGAATTTTGAAACTGAACTAAGGAGTGCAATTATGAATTTTTAGTGGAATAATTCGCAATTTATTATGGTAGAAATAAAGGAAATCTTTCCTTTATGGAAGAAGAAATCTAACAGGTTTTGGAAAAGGGTTTTAACCTAAAAAACGTGGCTATATATAACCCATATAGGGCTGGCTATTTTTGGACTCGTTTTTTCGCCTTGGAATTTCGCCAACCTGAAACTCTCTCTTTTCGGATATTATTTGGGTAACGCAGTAGAAGACTGTGGAGCGTTTTCCTGAGGTCGCGGTCTTGCAACTCTGGATTTGGAGATTGAGATTAATCTGCTTTGTTCACGCTTCAAGAGGTAACTCGTACAATCTCCATATGTGCTAATTGATTAATTTACACTCGAATATGTACTGAGATTGCTTCTGCTGCGATATATAATCACACAATTGGTATCAGAGCCTGTTCACATCTAGTTAGATAATTAGGATGAACATGAAAAAGGAGCACCATGTTAATATGCAAGTTTTGAATTACATGCAAAGATTATTTTTCTGTAAAACTTCACTGTTTTGAGCATAGATATTTGTTCCAAGAATTTTGATTATTCTGAAAATCATGTAATATCTGCTTATTTTTGATGATATTTGATCAGAATAATATGAAAATTTTGTTAATCTGAGGAAAACACAAAAGCTACTATTTGGCCGAATTGGCCAGAAAATTCGGAGGTCAATATGTTGACGGACTCCGTTTTTCGGGCTTTCGGGGTCGTTCTGATGGTGATTTGGGCGTTTTTCTAATTTTCTGGAATTTTTTCAAATTCTTTTTTAAGTTGTTTTCAATCCACTAGTGGTAGGGATCTTTTCCTATGGACTCCAGGGTTATTTTCTGGTGATATAAAGAATTTATACGTTGGTGTAGGTCTTCTTCCATATTGGATAAACACATTATAGATAATCACTAAGTAATGCTAATTGTTGATTACTTGTATTTACTCTCCATCTGAGTATGCATGTTGGTTCAATAGGACTAGTATCCATGTTGATATTCACTTGACTTAAATTAACAGTTACTCTCCATCTGAGTAAGGCCTGCTTATATTCATGGAGTGAATAATTTGTCATTATATATGTATATTGCAGGAATAGCTCCTTTCCCATCGAAACTTGTTATTCAAGGTGCATGGATTATATGTATGTAGTGTGTTTTGAATTTTAATATTCAATAAAACATGACTGATTTTGATCTATTTGTCCAATTGTCTCTCATATTAACCATGACTGATTTCACTCCCCTTACTGCTATTCTTACTCAAAACAAACTTGAGGGTCGGAATTATGTTGATTGCAAACGAAACTTGGATATTGTCCTAATTGCTGAAGAGTACAAATTTGTGCTCAGTGAGGTGTGTCTAGAAAAACCTAGGGATGATGCTACGGATGATGAACAAAAAGCTTACAAAAAATGGGTTAAGGTTGATGAGATGGCGTGGTGTTATATTCCAACATCTATATCAAATGTTCTGCAACATCAACATCAATTTATGGAGTCTGCTTATAATATTCCTGAAAATATCAAAGAGATGTTTGGAGATCAGAATCGTGCAGCTAAGCAGAGTGCCGTGAAAGCTCTTTTGAATACCAAAATGGTTAAAGGTTCATCTGTTAGGGACCATGTTCTGAAGATGATGAGCCTTCTGAATGAACTGAAGGTCCTTGGAGCTAACCTTGTTAAGGATACACAGGTTGAAATGATCCTGCAGACTCTGCCTAACAGTTTTTAGCGGCTTTACCTGAATCATAATATGAACAAAATGGATTTGTCACTTGCGAAATTGCTGAATGAGCTGCAGTCGGCAGAGACTATTATTAGGCAACAAGTTCTCCTGCAACACTGAATTTTTAGATAGGTTCTTCTTCTAAGGCGAGAGGCAGGCAGAAGAAGAAAAAGGCTCAAAAAACCTCTGTTGGAGGTGCAACTTCTGGTGTGAGAAATCCTAAGGGCAAGTGCTATCACTGGAAGAAGACTGGGCATCATAAGAAGCAGTGTCCGGCTTGTGTGGCCAAGCTGAATAATAAACCAGGTGATTTACATCTGCTTGTCATTGAAACTCTTTTAGCGGCTGTTTCTACCATGTCATGATGTGTAGATTCTTCACCCACTAATCATGTCTGCACTTATTTACAGGGGTTTCAGGTAACGCGGCGGCTAAGTAGAGGAGAAATCAATGTTTATCAAGCAGATGGTTCGACAACTCCAACTTTAGCATTAGGAAATATTAGCATTTCGTTTGGTAGTAATAGAGTATTAACGTTAAAGGACACAATATATGTACCTTCTGTTAGAACGAATTTAATTTCGGTTTCTAGCGCTATGAGAGAAGGTTATGACATTAATTTTCATGATATTGATAAATGTGTTATTAGTCATAATAAAGCTTATCTCTGTTCGGCCACATTGATTAATGGTCTTTTTATGGTTGATTCTATTCCTAAACTGTTACAACCTAAAGAACTGAATTATATTGATTTACCAAATAAGAGAAAACATTCTTCTGCATTGAGTGAAACATATTTATGGCACTTGCATTTAGGTCATATAATTCTAAACATAATTTCAAGGTTGGTTAAGGATGGACCTTTAAGTTCTTTAAAAGTGGAGGCACTACCAACTTGCGAATCTTGTTTAGAAGGAAAAATGACAAAACGAAAATTTCCCTAAAAAGGAAATTGAGCAAACAATAAATTAGAGTTAATTCATTGTTATTTGTGTAGCCCAATGAATGTCCAATCAAGAGGTGATTTTGAGTATTTTGTGACTTTCACAAATGATTACTCAAAGTATGAATATATTTATTTGTTGCGTCGAAAGTCTGAATGTTTTGAAAAGTTCAAAGAATTTAAGACAAAGATTGAAAAGCGACATAATAAATATATCAACACACTACGATCTGATCATGATAGGGAGTACCTCTCTGCGGAACTTATTAGTTACTTATAAGAATGTGGATTTACCTCTCAATTATCTGCACATGGAACACCATAACAAAATGGTGTAGCTGAAAGAAGAAATAGGACTCTTATGGAAATGGCTAATGATGAGTTATTCTAGTTTGCCTTTGTCCTTTTGGGGACATGCCTTAGAAACAACAAAATACGGTCTGAATTTAATTCCTTCAAAGTTAGAACCTTTGACCCCTACAGAATTGTGGACTGGGCGCAAGCCTAGTCTACGGCACATTCGAGTTTGGGATTGTCCGGCACATGTGCTAAAAGGGAAAATAGATAAATTGGAGGCGAAAATGGATGTATGTCTGTTTGTGGGTTATCCAAAAGGGACGAAAGGTGGTTTATTCTATTGTCCTAAATTAAAGAAGGTAATTATTAGCTCAAATGCCAAGTTTCTGGAAGAGCACTATTTGATGAACCATGTTCCTAGAAGTAAACTTGTTTTACAGGAAATTAGCAAAGGAATGGAAACTCAGTCATCTGTAAAACAAAGCGACCAGATGCAAACCCCGGAAGTCGATTTTGTCATACCATTGCATTTTAGTAGTGGGAGAAATGTCAATAGACTTGATGTCCCGCAAGAACAAGTGCCCGAAGTCATACTACCACAAAGTAGTGGGAGTTATGTTGAGCAAACTGCACAACATGATGAAGTCGTTGATATCCCTGTGGATAGCATGGAGACTCAGGTTCCTGATAATGATGTGGTCGAACCGCAAGATCATAATGGTGTAGTTGCAACTGATGTAGTGTGTAGTCGTAGTGGGAAAGAAATAAAACAGCCAGTTCGTTGTACGCTCTTGGGAGAATCAAATGATAGGATCACTGAGAAGCCAACTTCCGAACCCGTCAATTACCACCAAGAACTACATATAAAGATGCTGATAAGTGGGTTGCTGCTATGAAATCAGAGATGGGGTATATGTTCTCTAATCAAGTCTGGGATCTTTCTGATACCATGTTGTCACGATCCAAAATCCATTAAAGGTTGTGATGTCGCCTAACACCACTGTCAAACAAGCGAACAACAATTATTTAACTTAATTACTCATTTTATTATTTTAAAATCATAATTTCCTTCAATTCTATAGTAAAAGATAGAACTTACAGAGTAAATGATAATATTTTCGCAACTAAAATACTGAACAACCCATAATCTCTCCCAAAACCCGGTGTCACAAGTGCACGAGCATCAACTAGGGAGTAAAATAAAATACAGCATCTGTCCAGAATACAAATTGTAAAGGAAAAATCTAAATAACTCTGAAGGAGACTCTGTTGGTTGCCGATCGTAATATGGGATGCAGCTCACCTAAGTCTCGGCATTAACCACACCTCTGTGCCCACATGGCCACTAGACATATATGTACCTGCACAAAAATGTGCAGCAGGTGCAGTATGAGTACGTAAATTAGTGCGTACCCAGTAAGTATCCAGTCTAACCTTGAAGAAGTAGTGACGAGGGGTCTACTCCGACACTTACTATGGCCTAACAATAAGATACCGATATTATAGTTAAGCATGTATTGTATAAAACAGCTGAAAACCCAATAACCAGAGGTAAGTAAACAATTCTTTTTATCATAGGGAACTTCCAAATTTATTTTCGTCATTTAACAATTTATATCTCAAGCCAATGAAACAACATCAATTATTATTAGTTCCAAAGATTTATCATGCGCAAATCATGCCGAGGTCGTACGATCAAATCCAACATATAAATATAATTTATGCACTACCGATGGTCAAATGGCACGAACCATAGATGCATCTATTAACCTGTCGAGGCGAACGACCTGCTCCCATGGGAGTAGTGGAAAATTACCCGGCTCGTGGAATATATTTGCGACGCGGTTGAACATAGATTTCTCAAGTTATTATAATATTCCTCAGTTCTTTTCAAAAATACGAAATTCAAATGAAAACTTTCAAATCTCGAAATCCTCAATTTCAACTATTTTCAAGGCAATTAATAAGCATACTCAATCTCAATTCTTTTCAAGGCAAATAATAAACATAGTCAAATAACGGTATCAACAAGGCATGGTGTAAGCCTAAAACTACCTGGACATAAGCATAATTAGTAGCTACGTATGGACTCTTGTCACCTCGTGCGTACGAAGCCCCCACAAATAAGAGAACACATGAATTCAATTCATCTATGCGGTTAATTCCCTCTTACAAGGTTAGAAAATAGATTTACCTCACTCCGATGTTCCATAGCCGGCTCCAAATCCTTTCCAACAACTCAAACCGATGCCCAACGCTCCAAAGCTACTCAATAAATGTGCAAATCTATAAATATATACTCTAATACTCATTATAATCCATTTACAATAATTTCCAACTCCGCTCGAAAAGTCGATAAAAATCACCCTCGGGCCCACGTGCCTGGGTTTCAGAAATTTTCGAAGATAAAATTTACCCATAACACCACGAACTCAAATATATAATTTATTTCAAATTTCATGTCCAATTTTGTGGTCAAAATCCCAAAATGTAACTTCTAAGTGTTTCTTTAAAAATCCCAGATTTTCTACAAATTTCATGTCTAAATCCTTATATAAACCTTGTATTTAAGTCACAACTAGTGGAAATCACTTACCCCAATATAGTTGATGAAGATGGCTGTCACGACCCAAACCTATGGGCTGCAAAGGGCACCCAGTACCTTACTTAACCGAGTACCAACATAACATATCTTTCTTATTGTACTTCCACTGGCAAATGGGCCAAACGGGCCATCATGGGCTACCTAGAATAGACATAGGGGAATACTCATTATAGGACGACCCACCTTGATATAAAAAAAGTATACATGTGATATACGGGCCTATAAGGCCAACATGTTCATTTTTAAACTCAAAATATAGGACGACAAGGCCATACAAGTATCTGTATACATGACATGTGTCTACAAGCTTCTAAAATTACATAAGTAACATAAAGGTCAGGATCGGGACCCGCTGAACCAATCAATACATGTCCTAATTATACTGACCAAATAAGCAACTCCGGAGCAAAATAGAGCGCACCAATATCTTTTGCTGAGCTGATAGCCTACTTGGAGGACTCTCAACCTATCTATCGGGACATGCGGGCATGAAATGCAGCGTCCCCAGGCAAAAGGGACGTCAGTACAAATAATGTACCGAGTATGTAAGGAATGAAAATCAGTAAATAATGGACATGAGAGAAACATGGAGTCAAAGACTCGACATATAAGTCTGAATAACTATGTGAATTATTAATATGTGTAATGCCATGCATATGCGTATAAATGTTATGTCATACATATGTACATGTGTTCATAACATCATCAAGCCTCTGAGGGCATCCCATCATATCATGTTGATCACTGCGGGCAAAATTATCAACGTATACCAGCTGATCAGGTGGTGGTGCGTATATAACGCCATAACCTTTTCCCATATATATATATATATATATATATATATATATATATATATATATATATATATATATATATATATATATATATACGCGTATATAACGCCATCTGGTCATGGGTCAATGCACATGTATAATTCAATGCAATGCATAAGAAGTAGATCAATAAAATCTCTTTGTAATGTCAAAGACCATTATGCCTTTGATTAATATCATGAAATAAACTTTACCAACTAACGTATTTTCTGAGACCCATGAACATAGGATAGAATAATATGACACATGGGGAATCAAGAATATAAGCATCTCTAGTATTTCTATGAATAGAGTCATTTATAGAAATTGTGCATTTGCTCGTTTCATTTGTGTTGTATAGATCATGCCGAAAAGAAAGAAGGGATAGCCTTTACAAACCTGAGTCAATTCTTTTGAAAATCCCTCTAACACACGTTAATTGCGATAAAATACGTGACGGCAAGATCAGAGTAGGGAAAAGTCCGTATGATATTCTTGAGGAAGATTACACCGTGCTCCCTTAGAATCGCAAACCCCACATTGTTGTAATATTACTAAATCCCGTTTGAGTGAGAGTTAAGAAACTCACGTTGCAAATGAAGTTTCCTTGTGCTGAAGCCTTTCTTAGATGTAACATACCTTTATTTTGAATTAGATAAAGATTAGGTCTTGGTGGTGTGGGCCCCACCTATCAAGACTTGGTGTCACGTTTCTTCCATAAAATGTGACACTTTTCAATCCTTATTAAGAGTCATTGGATGGTAAGTGGACGCTTTCCACGTTGGGGAGGGGGTTTAAGTTATCCAAAATCTTTAAGTAAGCACCCACTAATCCTTAATTAATTAGGTAATCTCCCATTACCCAATAATTAACCAATCACCCACATAATTAAAAATTATCTCAACTTACTTAAAATACTACTCACTTTTATCATACCTTATACACCTTACTATCATGGTCATCTAGTACCTTATATGGCACTAGTCTATAAATACAGGGTATTTTATCTCAGGCCGTATTTTATCTCAAAATACCAAACTTCGACGAAATTCATTTTCTTCGATTTGCCTACCCCCTCTCCTTCATGAATTTACTCATCACTTGTTTGAAATAGCATAATGCTTATAATCTCAAAATAATCTCATTCTCGAACTTACGTCGATTAACTTACGACGAAAGTTTAACGTACGAAAATACGGAATATAACATCTCATTTCCGAGCTTATATCAATTTGTTTATGGCGTACTTCCTCGTACGAAAATATGGGGTGTAACAATGGCATTCCAAAATTCTCCAAAAATCGGCTCCCGTGGATGAAATGAGATGAAAATGGGCCAAACCCCCATTTTGAAGAACACACTGCCCAGCTACTCCGTCACCTGCAGACTCCTTGGCCGCTCTTGCGCATCCGCTTCTACGGCACTTCTTCCGCACCTGCGACCTTGCCGCTTCTACGGCCACAGCCTTCGCACCTGCGCTGTCTCAGGTGCGCAACTCTTTCCATTTCTGCGGTCCTCCGCAGCCTCGGCCCTTACGCTTCTGCGCTTGCTTTGCCGCTTTTGCGGCGTCGCACCTGCGACCCTTTTTCCACAGGTGCAATTACACCAGAACTCAGGCCATTGAGCAACACAACAAAGCTCCAATTTGATCTATTTACCATTCGGAATCAACCCGAGACCCTCGGGACCTCAACCAATTATACCAACACGTCCCAAAACACATTACGAACTTAGTCGAGCCTTCAAATCACATCAAACAACGCTAAAAACACGAATCGCACCCCAATTGAGCTTAATGAACTTTAGAACTTCAAATTTCTACATTCGACGCCGAAATCAAATCACGTCCGATTGACCTCAAATTTTGCACACAAGTCACATTCAACATTACGGACCTACTCCAACTTCTGGAATCGCAATCTGACCCCAATATCAAAAAGTCCACTCCCGATCAAACTTTCCAAAAACCTTCAAATTCTCAACTTTTGCCAAATGACTCCAAAATGACCTACGAACCTCGAAATCAACATACGGATGTGCTCCTAAGACCAGAATCACCATACAGATCTATTCCCAGGCTTGGGATTCCAAATGGACATAGATAACATTAAAATACTCTGCGTCCCAAATTTATGAATTCCTTCCAAAATGCTAACTTTTCACAATAGGTCTCAAAATGCGCCCGGTTCACCCAAAACATGATCCGGACATGCGCCCTAGTCCAAAATCATCATGCTAACCTGTTGGAACCTTCAAATCCCGATTCCGAGGTGTTACTCAAGGATCAAACCCTTGGTCAATTCTTCCACCTTAAAGCTTTCGAAATGAGAATTTCTTTTCCAGATCAACCTCGAACTTCCTGAAATTAAATTCTGACCGCAGGTACAAGTCATAATAACTGAAGTGAAGCTACTCATGGCTTCAAACCGCCGATCGACGCGCTAGAGCTCAAAACGACCGATCGGTCGTTACATTCTCT